TGAAGAGTTTGATTCTACCCCCATATAGTTTTATTTGTTTTAGCTGAAACTCTGGTGAACCAAATTTATTTTCAATTTTTTTTGAGAATCTATCAATAAGAACACAACTTTGCATAAAAAATACTACGGCGTAATACTTCTTGAAAAAACATATAGTATCACGCAACTATGTATTTAGTTATTTACAAATAGTATTACGGGTAGAAAAAAGAGATCCCAACAGATTGTCTGTGTTCTAGAGGGGAGCATTATGTATGTACCTTTGAGTCTTTCTTCTGCTGTGTGTGTTCCGTATGAGAGTCCCTAGAGAAGTGCCAAAATATATTCCAAAAAGTCGAACCTAAATGCTCAGATTTACAGCAATTCCATTTTCAACAGGTTCATCCAGAATGTTGGGCCGAACCATTGTCTACCAAACATCAAAAACAACATTTTAAGCTATTGAAAACGCTAAAGAAATCAAACCAACTATTTTTTTGGCTGAAAGGCAATTTCCAAACACGTCCTTAATAAAAAAGGTAGCTCCATTCATTGGATTTATAAAACACAATATCACTATTAGTCTATTACTTTCAACAACCTCTGCTATGACTAGTTAAGGTACCAAAAACTAGCCCCAGACCACTTACAGCTAACCGCAAGAGTGGTCTTGTGTGTTGTAGTATGCACTATGCCATCTTTCAATGTCAATGTTATAAAACTCATACCAAGTTCCACTTTAGGCCCCGCTTTAAGCTAGGCGGTGATTTTTCTTCCGAGTCTACATAGGCGTAAAGTCAATGTTCAGGAAATCTTCACCTATTCTGCCTAACCATCAGTTAGCCTAATTTCAGGGAAGACAAATAGAGAAGAATGACATACATATCATAAGTCAAAATATAGGTGATTGAAACTATTCTGCCTGTTTTTTAGTAGTGATTGAAACTTCAAGTTTTAGGATTGAAATGTATAAATGGGTCAAATCACAATCGGATTTGGCTCTGATACCATGTTAAAACTTGAAGTTTCATCCCAAAAGGTTAACTTGTAATATTAAATGTATCAAAGTATGTTATGCGTACATATGTATGTACGTGGGTCATATTACACATTATCTTTGTGTATAAGTGTATTGTATTGTATTGTTGTATATCTATTTATTTCATTTTCTTATTTCATTTTTAATATTTTATTTTCATCACATAGATTATATGTAGTTTATTTTTATCAAATAAATTATATCTGGTTTATTCTTATCAGATAAATTTTATCAAATTTATTATTATTATCTTTTAGGTGTCACAGGAAAACTCTCATAAAACAAAGAGATGGTGCCGGCAATAAATTGATACTCACGTCGCAATCCGAGGAGCGTGCTTTATAGTAATTCTTTATCAATCACAAGAGAATTTATTTCAGCTAAAGCATCAACCGGATTTTTAATATTACGCAAATAATACTCCATGGATTGATTTTCTTTCTTTTTAGTATTAGACAGTAAATGTTTAAATTCCATTGCTCTAGCTAAACTGGCAGACATAAATCATGCACACCAGTTAATATCATGCACATCAGTTAATACTTCACAAGATAAAGTAGCAAACAACCAAACTAGAACGAATTGTTTGATCTACGCGGAGCCAATGATAATAATCAGTATTAACGACTTGATAATTATTAAAATCCATTGGTTACATGAGAGGTACTTGAATAGAGCCGTCTACAATACCAAAAAGACCTTGGGACACAAGACACGAGACACTATTCAACCTGAGTGCGCCACGTAAGGTAATCTTCAACCGCTTTGAGTTTGATGGTCACGATTTGTCCAACATTAGCAATTCCATGAGAGATTGTTTGAGTCATGACTGCCATAGGATATCTGAACAAAGGATTATCGTGCTGCAGTCGAGTGACACTAAGGAAGCCAACGAACGACGACCCAAAAAATGAGGAGATGGTCTGCGCATGCAGCTGTGGACGGAAGCTTGCCAGAGGGACGAGAGGACTATCCAGTTGCCACGGGAACTGGGTCGGCAACGTGCTGATCCAGAGAGTTGAAGCGGCATGGTAAATCGTCCCACCAGAGGAGAGATCGGCAACTGTGACTGATCCAGAGAGACGGAGGTGATGACCATCGAGGAGGAATTAGGCGCAGTACTGAAACCAACATTCATCGTGGCTGAGATCGATGACGTGGTGGTAGAAGTCGACGGTGCCATGGAGGAAGACTCCTGGGACATGGCTGCGACTTGGAGATACGGGAGAATGAGAGAGAGAGAGAGAGAGAGCGAGAGAGAGCGAGAGAGAGAGAGAGAGAGAGAGAGAGAGAGAGAGAGAGAGAGAGAGAGAGAGAGAATGGGGTTTTTCTTTAGACTCTTGATACCAAGTGAGAATAATGGGAAAGATACTCCAATAGGAGTCGTGACATGTGTATATATAAGGAGAGAGTCCAAAATACAAAAGGAAACAAATATTCCTAAATATATTCTATTATCAATCTCCAACTACAAAAATTAGAATTGGAAAAGTAGTTCAATGATAAAACTAAAAGTAGTGTAATTAATATTCATGATAAGAATAATATTGATAATGATTATGATAATAAATGTGCGGCGATCAACGAATTGAGCTATTCATATCATTGCTAGTGTTTGTTCTTTGCTTGAAAGCTGGTTGTGGAAGCTATTTCATCCTACTTGTATTGTTGACAGACTTGTATTAAATTCTGGGCTAAAGAGTCAAATAGGCTCTCGAATTAACTTAAAAAGTGCAATTCATCCTTTATATAGAAGACTCTATCTAGCCGTTGCCATTTGGGGTGGTTCCCGGTGCTTTTTTTTGATTAATTTTTTTGAGCATCTTCTTCATTAAGTCTAGTTTACACATACCAAACTTCAGATACAAATTCATCCGGGAAGACAGTCAAATGATTTTCTGAAATGTACTATGCTATTTAACTGCGCAGTTATCTTCAAAAATTCATTTGACTACCTCCCGATTGAATTTTTAGCTGAAAGTTGATATGAGTAAACTAGACTTAATGGAAAAAATGCTCAAAAATTTCATCAAAAATTTGCACCGTGAACAGCCCCAAATGGTGATGGCCGGATAGAACCTCCTATATAAAGGGTGATTTACACTTTTTAAGTTAGTTCGAGAGACTATTTGACCCTTTCGCCTAAATCCTGAGAACTAGCTAGCATACCTATATCACCGAACCGTCGAACCGATCACAAGCCTTAACATTAGACAAAGAACTAATCACTCATAAAAGAGCAAATTGACTCACTAATCCGGGAAACAATAATAATGTAGAGTTGGAGATACAAATAGTCTTAGAAGAGAACTCACGCACGAAGTCCAAAGCATACCATAATTTTAATCGGAATCAGAAATGCTATAAGGATGGTCGTGTTCTAACAAGACTATAGGTGGACGATATTAGACAATTATTAATTATAGTACATATTTTGTTCATCTCTTACAATCTTTTTTTTAAGAATGACACCCATCCCAGAGGGCCCCCTCACATCAACCGGATAGTTAGATGGGAAATGTAAATTGAACTTTAATCACAAACTGACAGATATAGAATGAGACTCTGACTCTGGCACTTGCAGAGCCCCTATGCATTTTAGCATAGTAACCTCTCATCGCAGTTGGCGGGATTCGAACTTGAAACTTACTTCTTGTGACATCCCCTATCTATAAGATGAGCTATGCCCACCGGTGATCTATTTTTTTAGAATTGTCCAAATGGCATGGTACCATACCACTTCGTATATACTACACCCGGGTGTACGGGTGGGAACCGTACATCCGGGTATTTTTTTAATTTTTTAAAGCTTCAGCTCAATTTAAATGAAATTTAATGAATATAATGGAGGCCCACAATAATTAACGAGCAAACCCCATAAACAACAGGCCCGGAGTGGAAAACAAGCAAAGGGGCCAATTATTTTAACGGTGACATTTTTGTAATTTAAGCGAAAAATCACGTCTCCTGCTAAATGAGCAATAATGTACTTTTAATGAGCATTTGACCTGTTTCATTGACTATTAGAAGGTTAATTATGAGTATCACGCTCTTTGCTTCACATCTTCTAATTCTTTTTCTTTTTTTTTGTTATTTTTTCTTTTACAAAAACTTATTAAATTATATCTATAATCTACTCCTATTAATTTCAATATGCGAGTCTAATGTAATATGATACTTTTGGAACATGCATTGATATGACATTTTAAAAATGAGCATAACAGTAGTACAAAATGAGCATACATAACTTACAAAGTGCACATTATATGAAAATCGTAAGGTTTGTTAGTTGAACATCATGACATTTTAAATGAGCATCAACCTCCACTATTGAGATGAAAATCACGACTTCTGGAGAATGAGTAATAATGAACTTTTAATGAGCATCAGACCTATTATATTGAGTATTAGGAGTCTAATATAAAATACTCCGTAGTACTTTTAAAATGCATTGATATGACATTTATAAAATGAGCATATGATCAGTCTCAGATGAGCATACGTATCAAACATCGTCTGTTGAGATTGATGAAAATCATGAATTCTATTAAACGAGGATTAATGAATTTTTAATGAACATCAGACATATACAAATGAGCATATGTAATTTACAAGATGAGCAATAATATGAAAGTTAGTAAGTTTTATTCGTTAAACATCAAGACATTTTTAGTGAGCATCAAACCTCCGTTATTGAGTATTAGAATCTGCGATTGAGTATCAAGATTTGGGGTCTCGTGTCTATAATCAATTCTTATATAAATCTACTAATAATGTAATATGAGACTTTTGAAATGCGCATTGCTAAAACATTTTAAAAATGAGCATAACAGAGATACTAAATGAATATACATAATTTACAAAGTGAGTATTCAAAAATTCAAAAGCTCATTTATGTATGTTCATTTTTTTACGCGTTTTACTCATTTGAGTTTAAGGTAAAACTCATTTCTAATGTACTCGGTATAATGTATATAAATACGAAAAGAAGTAAACAAAAAATAAAGAAAGGAAAAGAAGTACAAAAAAGACAAAACAAAACAAAGTGAAATAAAAAAACATAACAACAAGACAAATGTAAAAGATAACAATAAGAATGGATGGTCGAAGAAGAAAAGATGGTGGAAGGGAAGGAGAGAAAGAAAAGATGATGGTTGTGGAAGAAACGAGGATGGCTAGCTGGGAAGGAAAGAAACAAAAGATGATGTCGGTGCAAGAAAAGATGATGGCAGGGAAGGAAAAAATATACGAAGTCGGCGAAAAGAAAAAAGGAAGGGAATGACGAGCGAGAATGACTGCAGAAGAGGATGGTGACTAGGATTGAAGTTGGTTTATTTACAAAAATACCGGGTGTATCTATACACCCGGGCGTAGGATATAATTTGTCGTACCATACCATCTTTTAAGGCAAATTATACCGTATGACCGGTATACGGTGAGCACCGTATACCAGTATACGGACTTTTTATTTTTATTTTTCCTTTTGTATTTAAAAAATGGTAATAACTTTTTTATTTTTGATCCGGTTTTTATAAAATTTATATCAACATTTTTTATTTTTCATGATCTTTCAAATGAGACTAATATTGCTTATGTAATTTTAAGAAATTATCGAACTATTATATTAATGGGTATTGGATTATAAGGAAAATCGAACTAAATTTAATACAGAAAAATAATTATGTAAATCACAATTTATCTTAAAATTGTGTATATAAAAAATTTATTGTAATATGTATTTATACCTGTGAGTTACATATTTTTATGTGTATAGTAAAGTTACATATTTTTACACGTACAGTTACATATATATACACACGAGTTGCATTTGGTCTGCCTGAATGCGAGTTACATACTTTTACACGTAAAGTTACATATTTATACACGCGAGTTACATATTTATACACACGAGTTGTATTTGACTTGTCTGAACGCGAGTTACATATTTTTACACGTAAAGTTACATATTTTAACATGTAAAGTTACATATTTATACACGCGAGTTACATATTTATACATACGAGTTGTATTTGACCTGTCTGAACGCTAGTTACATATTTTTACACGTAAAGTTACATATTTTTACACGTAGAGTTACATATTTATACATACGCGTTGCATTTGGCCTGACTGAACGTGAGTTGCATATTTCTACACGTAAAATTACATATTTTACATAGGTTAATATAATAGTTCGATAATATGTTAAAATTACATAGGCAATATTGGTCTCATTTGAAAGATCATGAAAAATAAAAAATGTTGATATAAATTTTATAAAAATCGGATCAAAAATAAAAAATTTATTACCATTTTTTTAAAAAAAAGAGAAGTAAAATAATAATAAAACCGTATGCCGGTATACGGTGCTCACCGTATACCGGTCATACGGTACAACAACTGATCTTTTAAAGTCGTCAAATGTACAAAAAGAAACAAAAGATGATGTCGGCGGAAGAAAAGATGATGGCAGGGAAGGAAAAAATATACGAAATTGGCGGAAAGAAAAAAGGAAGAGAATGGCGAGCGAGAATGACTACAGAAGAGGATGCTGACTAGGATTGAAGTTGCTTTATTTTTAAAAATAACGAGTGTATCTATACACACAAGGGGGTAGGATATAATTTGCCTTACCGTACATCTTTTAAAGTCGTCAAATGTACATCGTCACTCATATCAAGCAATGATAAACGGTGTCAATTTCAGGTAAAATTCTTCAATTTGAACTAATCAGATCGACCTGACCCGTATCTATCCGCGCTCTCTTTTACAAATGTTGTATATCCTCAATTACTTAATGCTCTCAAATTGCCGCTGGTTCATACGTGCACGTACACTTTTGAATCAAATTAAATATACAGCTAGTATACTAAAGATACTATTCTCTCTCTCTCATTTATACTAACCCAATAATATAAATACCACTTTTTTCCTGGGACAGTGGGTTGCATAATGAAGATGTAACATACAAGTGCTTTCTATTCGTTCTTTTTGTGCCCTTTATATTTTCCACTTTTGTATGACTGGGGAAATTATCTCACAAGCTTGGAAGTTTTCTTAATTTGCTCAATAATACTACGTATAAATCAATACTTTTTCCTTGATTGGCTCTTCAAAAAACTCATGTGTACGTGTACCTGTTGCATGCCCTTGATGAAGTCTTGCAAATAGTCTATTGGGACTCCACTGGCCCTATATATATGTGGCAGCCCCTCACTTCCTTCTCTTAAATAAAATCATCATCATCAGTATAGAATTAAGAAGAAGAAGAAGAAACAGAGCAAGCAGGAGAAGAAAAATGGAGGGGAAATGGAGTTTTAGGGCTAATTTCTTGGAGAATGTTAGGCCTTACATAGCCATGGTTTGTCTGCAATTTGGGTATGCTGGAATGACTATAATAACCAAAGTTTCACTGAATAAGGGCATGAGCCATTATGTCTTGGTTGTTTATAGACATGCCTTTGCCACTGCTGTCATTGCTCCCTTTGCACTTCTTCTTGAAAGGTTTTGACTTTTGATCTATTATATCTATACCCCATCATATTCTTGCCATTTTCTTTCTGTAAATTTAGTTAGTTTCACAGAAATAACTCTGCTTGTTGATTTATTGCAGGAAAATGAGGCCAAAGATGACTTTCCCAATTTTCATGCAAATATTTGTATTGGGTCTTCTAGGGTGAGTGTTGTTTTTTAGTTTTTTATTTATTTAAGAACCATTAATTACTAAATACTAATTTTTTAAATCTATATGGTATGGAGTATAACTTTTCATGTTAAACACATTCTACAGGCCAGTGATCGATCAAAACTTCTTCTATGCTGGACTGAAATATACATCCCCAACTTTTGCGTGTGCCATGAGCAACATTCTACCCGCAATGACCTTTGTCATGGCAGTAATCTTCAAGTGCGTATAAATGATAAATCTCGCGTTGGATATATATATTTATTTTTTAAAATCAGATAAAAGTAGTGTCTCGTAAATTTTACTTTAAGAGTCTTACACTATTCACATACTCAACTTAAATATGCTAAGTATAATGTTTTGTACCAATTTGTGACTTGATGTGGCATGATGGGTCCAATGGGATGTGTAGGATGGAAAAGGTGAACATAAAGAAGGTCAGATGCCAAGCAAAGGTTGTGGGAACACTTGTGACAGTTGGAGGAGCCATGCTAATGACATTATACAAAGGCAGTGTAATCAACCTTTTCTGGTCCAACCACATACACTTACACAACCAAAATTCCTCAACTGCCCCTGCATCATATGATAAGGATTGGGTTAAGGGCTCAATTCTCCTCATCCTTGCTACTCTTGCTTGGGCTTCTTTCTTTGTCCTTCAGGTTTGTAATAGATCCCTGTCATATCAATTTCTTAGGCTATGTTTGGAATGTGGTCAATTCTAGGAAAAAACAAAAAAAAAAACAATAAGAAGAGCTATTGTGTATTTGGATTTAACTCAGAAAATGTAAAAATGATTAAATATATTTAGACCAATACTTTGAGCCCGTTCAGTAAAATCTTAATTAGCCAAATCAGTTGTTTTTGTTGAAATTGATGAAATTTTGGCTGAATTGGCTAAATCTATTGAATTATGAAAAAATCATATTTAAAATATGTTTTATAAATAAAATAAAGAAAAATTATACATAGTACGTAGTATGAAAATTACGTGTCAACAAAAAAGTTACGTTATACAATTCAGTACATTATACATAGTACGTAGTATGAAAAATTAAACCAGAAAGTAACTTTAACTTTACTTATTTTTATCATTATACAATTCAGTGTTCGAAATCTAAAGTTACGTGTCAACAAAAAAGTTGGTTGATAATATTGATAAAGCGAAAACAGATTACCAAACGGGCTCTTTATTTCTTTGCAAATTTTTAGTATAAATAGTTTTCCTTGGGGTTCTATCAATGACAGGGTGAAAGATGTCACATTAGGGGGTTAGGCTTATATATTAGGGGTCAAAACTTAAAATGTCAATATATTCACTGTTGCTTATAAATAGTTATACATATACTCCCTCCGTCCCTTAAAACTTTGTCATCTTTACTTTTTGGGACGTCCCAAAAAACTTTATCACTTTCCCTTTTAATCGATTATTTTGTGGTTTCTGTTATTTCTCTCCTCTGCACAAACCTCAACCACACAATTTTTACTTTATTATTCTCTGTGCCAGTCAACTTTGGCAAAGTTTAAAGGGACGGAGGTAGTATATGTACACAATGGTGTAGGCAAGCGAATACATTAGGCTAGGTCAGTACAATTTTTATAGATATATAATACTCCTTCCGTTCTGAAAAGGATCGCCAAATTGACTTTTGTGAGTCAATGACAATCAACTTTAATCAATAATATTTTTTAATGAGAAATTATTTTGAATATGAAAATTATATCAAAATATTACTTATACCAAATTTTTTTTTATAAAAGTATAAAAATTTATAAATTATACACAAATATAACAATTGAAATCATTGTTAAAAGTTTGTCATAATTGGTCAAGAAAATTCAATATAGCGAGCTTTTTCAGGATGGAGGTAGTATATTACATTATAAGTGGAAGCATTTTTAAAATTTGAGATGAGTCCGGGCCTAGTATGGCTCCCGTCTAGCTACGCCCCTGTATGTACATCACAAACACCCCCCTCCGGTATATCTCTATCTCCATCACTGGTTCCATTATATAGCCAAAGTTTTATACTACCTTTGTCTCATTTTAGTAGTCTTATTTTAGTTTGACACAATTTTTTAAAAAGTTGTGGTTGAAATTTGAATAGATCAGAATAAAGTGAAATGGTAAGCACCACATACTTCCTACGTTCCTTAAAACTTTGTCAAGTTTTCTTTTTTGGTTGTCTCAATAATTTTGTCACTTTATATTTTATGTAAAGAGTTTTTGGTGAAATTTAATTTTTTTCATCTGTACAAATCTCAATCCTATAGTTTTTACTTTATTAATCCGTGTCGGTCAAACCTGACCAAGTTCTAAGGGACGGAGACAATATTTTTATCAAAAAAGAAATATGAAATTCATTTTGGAACAATCCAAAAAAGAAAGTAAAACAACATTATATTGGAGAGTATATATTTGTTTATTTTACTATATATACCAACATTTTCTAGGCTCCAAACAGCACCTATGAATAAAAAACATCTGGAAGTATGTTGACAATTTTTTTTCTTGCAGGCTTTTACACTTAGGAAGTACACTGCTCAGCTGTCTCTAACATCATTGGTATGTTTCATTGGAACACTGCAATCTATTGCAGTGACTTTTGTGGTGGAGCACAAAATCTCTGTTTGGAGCATTGGGTGGGACGTAAATCTGCTTGCCGCTGCTTATGCTGTAAGTCTCATCTTTCTTACCCTCAGCCAGGGGCGGAGCAAAGGGGGTCAGGGTGGTCAACCGACCCCGCTGAAAGTTTGAGAGTATAGAGCTTGTAAATATCTTCGATTTGATATATTATGGCCCTTGTAACTCATTACGAGTAAAAAGTTATGACTTCTGGAAAATCAGCACTATCTAAACGTAAAACCAACAAAATTTGACGCAAAATATTGATTATTTTTTCAAATTTTAAAAATAAGGTATAATTCACCCAATACTTACGTGACACGACTCAAAAAAAGAGCAAAGACAATCTATCTTATTGCTATGAGTGCCTATTTATCTAAAATGCATATAAAATATTCAAGTAATTCAACTCAGACATTGTTTAAAAATGATTCACCATTTTCATTCTGTATATAGGTTGAATTTCGACCTCCTGAACCGTTTTTCTGGCTTCGCCACTGCCCTCAGCCAAACACGGTACCCAAAATCCATTAATCCATGGAAACTGACCTTTTATAAACATTGCAGGGTATAATTTCTTCAGGAATTGCATACTATGTGCAAGGTGTGGTAATGCAGAAAAAAGGGCCTGTCTTTGTGACAGCATTCAATCCACTGATGATGGTCATTGTTGCAGTCATGGGATCCTTAATACTGGCTGAGAAAATCTATGCTGGAGGGTAAATACTTCTCCTAAAACACCACACTATAATGAGATAATACCAAGTCATGGGATTGTTAACTTAGAACTTGGATTTAATGAGTATATATATTGACGTAATCACTCAACTATTAAGTCACTATAGTCCATTTTACTTACGATTAAATTGAAAGCGTGACTTAAACATTCCGTGAAAAAGCTAACTTAATGGTCAATCCCATTAAAACGTCTATTAAGACGTCTATCTTGTCAAATTCTTTTAGATCGATTGTGAAATATAGTTATTATATAAATGAAATTTCTCATTGACATTATAGCTCAAAAATAATATGGAGTAATAAATTAATTATTTTACTTAATTTATTCAGCAAACTAGATAAACAATCTCATATACAAATACCATGTACGTAATCCACAAACATTTTAATCGAGACATTGACTTAATAGAAAAAAGTAAACAACCTCATATTATAAAAGATCAAACTTAATTTTATCATGTATGAGTGGACTTGCATTTAGTAATATTTGGATTATCGAATTGACAAAGAGCCTAATTGGTAACCCTATTTTCAGATTCAATTTTTTCATGCATTTTTTTTTACCAAATACACATTTTTTCATTTCGTGCTACATTATTTAATAATCAAAATAAACAATGTTGGAGATACTTAATTTCATATTTAATAAAATATATTCTACTTATTATATTTCAATAGCTAGATTCGATATCAAATTATCAATTCAGCCATTTTAGCTATATTTCACTAATTTTAACAATTTCTTTCAAGTTAACCAATTTTAATGTATCAAACGGGCTCGAAATTGATTGTGTTATTAGCTAAAGGTTAAAACAAACTTTATTGGTGAAAAAGAAGAAAACAGTAACATGAGTTCTTTTTGGCAAAAAATTAGTAATTTGAGTTATACTCTTTTTTATCATCAACTAATTCAACACACACATCAAGTAGGTTACTTTAATTTGCATACTTATCAACGTCGTAACAAATTAATTTTTCGATTATGTATATCAAACTTTGTCATATTCTACTTCGCTTTTTACATTCCATATAAAAATGTAATTATTTCTAAAAATGTAGTGTAGTTTCTAAATGTACACTCTCTCTAAGTCTCTATCGTAAATTCGTAATCAAATATTCAATTTACAATTTATTAGGTGATCGACTAATTTTCTTTTTGTTCTCTTATTTTGAGTATTAGTTTTTTATCAAATTCAAATTACGTTTTCGAGCTTAGGTATAACTTTTCTTGTAGTTTTTAAATATCTAACTTAAAATGTAAATGTCAATTTAAATCCGGTCAATCATCATAAATTACAACTCCCAGTATTCAAGGGCGAAGCTAGATATTTACTGTTAGAGGACAGGAGATTAACAAAAAATCACGAGGAGCAGAGATTAATCAGGGGCGGACCCAGGAAAGTCGTCTTGGGGGACGAAAATATTTTTTGGGGGTTTAAAATATTTTTTGGGAGGGACAATTTTTTTTTTCGTATATACATAAACTAAAAAAAATTGGGGCGGCGATAGCCCTCGGGTCTCTACTACGTTCCGCCCCTTAGATTAATACTTGAGTATATTTGTGCATGTCATCCTAATCTTCTGTAGAGTTCTAATTTTATGACTTAATGCTTGAGTATATTTTTATAGCGAATAGTACTCTTTTGTACTTGCAGACACAATACAAAACAAAAGTGGAAGGCTGAGGTCCACTCCAATTCTTTCCTCCATATCCTCTCGCTTTGATTACTATGCCTTCCGTCTCAAAATAATTATCACATTTCTGTTTCTATATAAACGTGTGGTCAACAATATTTCACTTTATTATATTGAAATTTAAATTGCAACTTTTACTTGTTCAGTTACTTTATTAATAATTGTGACGAAATAAAATAAAATGGACCGGAGGTAGTAATATTAATTTTAAGTACTATTATAAAGAAGTTAACCTTATCATTTCCAACTTCTTGACTAGTTGGTACACAAATTTGTGATTGGGTGGTTTGAATTACTCCGTAGTACGCAAAATTAAAGTTTTGATTGAAGAGACAAATGAGGTTTACCAGGCCAAATAGGCCACGAATATAAAGATAAAGAGAACTTTAGTACGAAACTAAGCCTTAATAAACAAATAATAAAAATGTGTATCTTGGTGTAATACAGGGCTCTTGGAGCAGCACTGATTGTGATCGGATTATACGGTGTATTGTGGGGAAAATACAAAGAATGCAAGGAGAAGGAAACAGAAGAAATTCAAGAACCAGATAAGGGTATTAATGCAGGGAAAAATAATGATGAAAAAATGGTGGTGATTATTGAAGAAGGGGAAGAAAATGACATTGAAATGCAGAAGAAAGCTCCTTCACTAATAGCTATTTCTCCTAACAATTCACAACCCCCCATGATAGCTAGGGAAGCTCCAATGCCTTAACTTAAAATTTTTAGAAATAAATGAAAACAAACCCAGGAAGGCTTTTTATTTTATTTTAACTAGACTTTTTAGTTTTGAGTTTCTCTTTTTCCTTTTGTAAAGTTGCTATGTGACATCTTCTATGAGAAAAGTTTTTTTCCATGGGTTTTAAATATTCCACAAAGTAATGTCATTGTGACCTATTATGCTTATCTAGAACATGTGGGTAATTAGAAAAATATCGCAATCTACTGAAAGAAAGAGTTACTTCACATAAACGCGTACTCATATTACATGTAATAAAGGTTTTAGTTAAAGTTTGGATTGGACAGAGCCCGGTTAGCCCTCTCTGCTACGCCTATGATAGAACCGTTATATGGAAGAATTTTAAAAGATTTAGAGAGTTTTTGTAAGTTGAAAGTAAATAATTTGAGTGTGAACATTAGGGAAGCTAATTAAGTAAAAAAGCTTGTATAATTAGATTTGATTATTTAAATGTACTAGACACTATTTTAAATTATTTCATATTGTACCATGTAAATGCATGTTTTACTTATTGGAGCAATGCAATTGCTTTATAGGTAACTCAAATAAATTGCACACAAACAAAAATTTGCATTTATATTTTGCATGTAAAATGGTTCTTTTTCAAATTAACTTTGTATATAACGAGTTTGCTTGTAAAGTTTTAGTGTTTAAAATATAAAAGTGAGTACTTTAAAATGTAAGAATACCACAAATGTAGAAGAGTTTATAAAAGGCAAAGTCGACATGCCATATGCTACTTTTGAAGTGGGGAAGCAATAACTCATTGGGTATCGTTTAGATTAACCACAATCTTTCACGTAACTCTTTAGGATCTCTTACACAACTCAACAAACATATTTGAATAAAGTCAGACTTGATTATGTTATGTAAAGCACTGGTATCTTTACTTGTGTCGTACACGAGATAAAATAATTTTCTTTTTTAGTTTTATTATATACATGTTGTGTGCAGAGGCGGCTTGAGCATTTTGGAGGCCCCAGACGAAAAATATTTACTATGTACAAATCACTTTTAAAATTAGATAAATTGAATAAAATTCGCCTTATTAAAAAAAGCATATTCAAAGTCCACGATATAATGTTTGTAATATTCAAAAGGATAAATTTTAAAATGCAAACTTATTCAAAACACAAGGCAAACTTGTATTTGTAAAAGTATTAAGAGACTTCAAGAACGAGACTCAGAGAGAAGATCTGAAGAGTCTTAGTTGATTCACTAACCAAGGACCCATGTCGACGGCGGGCAATGAGGCATATATACAGTAGCCGATTAGCGGTCTCTGTTGGACGTTGATGCGTTTTGAGATCGGATTTTGATAGTTTTTTCTTAACTTTAAGGTGTCATAAGTCTCAATTTTAAGCTCAAGTCATATTTACCGGTCGTTGGTTCGAGTTTTGGTATTTTTGGAGTCAAAATCAGGGAATTTGAGCCTGGCACCGGTGTTTGAGAAGAAATAGGGACGAGTTGAGAAGCATTTTAGAGTTGATTAGTAGCATAGGAGATCAGTGAGGTGTTAAAGACATTTTTGAAGACAAAAGAGCTCTAGAATTGGCTACGGGATCAAAAGAAGACGAATAGAGCTTTAAAACAATGGTCAGGATGACGTTCTGTCAATCGTTCAACCATATCTTTTCTTAGGAACATCCAAAAAACATGATTCAAGTTTCATATGAAAGCCAACTTCAAGGGCTACAAATCATATGAAGACACCATTGTGAGAATCGGAGAGAAGAAAGGTGAAAACAGATGATGAAGTCAGACAACCTCTGTTGAGATTTCAGAATGCGACCTTCCACCATTTTATTCATATATTTTTATTGGATGATTCAAATTCAACTTTGCAAGTTGTATTGGATAGAAGACTTCATTAGCTACAACTTTCATGAAGGACGAATAGTCAGAAGTGAACTATAAAGCTGATTTCTGCTTGCAGTTGTCGCTTGGTGTATTGGCGGTCTGCGAATAACATCTAATACTAATACCGAAGTAGAATTTTTTGGTGGCCCCCTTGGTAGTTGAGGCCCAAGGCAGTTGCCTGGCCCAACTGCCCTCAAAGCCGCCCCTGGTTGTGTGCACCGTCATATGTGTCACTTATCATAATTAACGGAAAATAATTTTTTAGTCGATTATAAATATGTTGATAATGCATATTCTTATTTATTGAGTATGTGTTTTTTTTATTCTTATCTAAACTATACTTTTCAATTAAATGAAACAATGTGTCCTATTTGTAGAGAGGGTTGTGGTGCGAGACATAGGCTTGAAATGGAGGGGGTTGAGGCCTGGTTTGTGGGGTTGGTCTTGTTTGAACAGGATGTACTTGGTACTGATTTTGGAACGGACTTTGGAATGAGTTCTGGAAATTTGGGTTCGGAATGTTCTGGTCTGCTCCTTGCAATTAAAAGTTTGATTTTGAAAAGGAATTTCGGGAGCAGTAGTGGTGTTGCGAAAGAGCTAATATAAAGGAGGAAGGTTAAATTGTGGAGTTTAAAGATTTTGAAGAAAAGACGGGAGGGCGATAATTTTGGAGTCCGGGAGAAAATGTCTCAGTGAAAGTGACGGAGAACTTTGAAGAGAGGTGTTGATATAAAAATCAGGTTGTGTGATGGCGGTGGCGGTGGCGGTAATGGTAATAGGGACACTTGATGTCCCAGTTGTACCAGATGAGGATGGCTCCATGTTTTGTTTTACCTACAAGATTAGCAAAGAAAATTCCTACGAAAAACTAAAAAAAAAAATCTATAGAAAAAAATTAAAATAGTCACTGAAAATAAATAACTCTTAAAACTGACACCGTCCCCAGCAAAGGCGCCAAAAACTAATGTGAGTTTTCTCTCACTAAAAACATGTAACAATATATGGCTTAAGTACGAGTATTGTCTCCACAGGGATGGAATCAAGAATTAAATAAATTCAGCGATAAAAATAAATAAAATAAATGCGATTGTGCGAGATTTGGATTTACGGTGTGACACTGCACCCGAACGTCCTGCAAATTCAAATTTAATTTCAAAGCTTACGTATTGAATTCTCCTATTTTCGAACAATTGTAAAACGATTAAAGTTTTACGAAACGTATGATTTATCATATTACTATTTGGACTTATACAATGGTAACGGGCTTCTAAATAATTAATTGGGCCATATCATTGATATTGGGGGCCCAACATCCTTAAATAAAGATATACAACCCATCGGTACAATGTAAGAGCGGTCGGGCAGCCCAAATATTATTTTGGGCCTAACCTGCTAAAAATAGTAATTATTCAAGAATGGCATCCTAGACCCATTGGAGGGTGACCCACACGGTTGGTAGCCCAGATATATATATATTTATATACATATTAACATCATAAATGAATGATGGAATGATTGGAGAAGAATACAAATGTCTATGGTCCCATCTTTGGCATTATTAGGCTAAATAATGGGAGTAGGGTTTTCTTTTGTAATTGTACATCAAATAAATTATTGGGACATCGTCAAATTGTACATACAAATGTCTATGGTCCCATAATTGTACATCATCCGAACAGAACGCAACCTCGCAGAATACGTTTTTGGTATTCAAAGTAAGTTCGAATCCAAAACATTCCTTTCTAATGTCTAAATCATATAAATGATTGAGGAACTATTTTACACTGGTTGAGGTGTATAAAATGTTGTTATGAAGTGATTTTATTCGTTGGAAAGGTTAGATAATAACCTAGACAAAACCTTGAAACGTTAGGGAACGTTTTCGCCGGAAAACACCCATTCTAGGGGCTGTTTTTGTATCATTGGATAAGTGTCGAACTAGCACCTTGAGGAGGCTGTCTAAACATCAATTCTAAGCAAGGAATTAGTTCTCAAACTTCCTTGGCCTAATCTTTGAGCATTGGATTAAAAAGGAAAGGTTCAAAGCTCATTTGAGGTGAGGATCGACATCTAGTTGCTTACAACTTGTAGGTTAAGCATGAGATTACCTAAATGCCTAAATCATGTTTTTCATGGATTATACTGACTGATTATTGATGAATTATTGATATTTTAGATAAGTAATGAAATTGCGAATGATTTGGAAATCATATTGATAAAAATGGAGTTAAATGAACTATTGTGTGAAATAGGCATTTTTACTCATGTGTGAATTGTGTAGATACATAAATGATTATTTGTGTATTACATTGGATGACTAAGTTGCTGCTACATATTTCTAAATATGTAGGGATTTACAAATGAAACATATGATTGATGGGAATAATCTTAATAGTATTGGAATACTAGTTAATGATTGTTTGTAATTGTTAAGAAATTGAATCTAAGGATTTGATTGTAAGTGATATACTTGATTGTGGTTCAAGTGAGTAAATTGTTGTAATGTGATGCTAAGATCATGTTAAGGCAGTCCGTAAGGATGTCCCGAAATAGATTATTGATATTACAATTCTAGGCATAGCGAGTGCTTAGGAATTGGGGTCTATGCCAATGCAAGGAGATGTACTTGAGCCCGATGCTCTAGAATTGCATTGGGTAGACATAAGGATTAGGTTCAGCCCATGTAAGGAGATGTACATGAGCCGAGCTCTAGATTTGCATGGGTGAACATGACATTGGAGATTGGTGGAGTAATTGACTTGTGATTGATATGCATGGTGATGTAGTCGAGTTGGACTCGAGAAATGCAAACATGTGTGTTAGGGTTGAACCCTATGTATTGTCGTGACTAGGGGTCACGGGGTTTGGTTTATGTTTTGAAAACGAACTTTGGGCCATGGGCCGACTACTTGACTTTATATATAAAGTAAGTATATTTTAAAAAGGGTTAACTTGGGGTTACGACCTAGAATTATATTATCACCCTATTTAAGGGTCTTGTGTTTGAAATACTTGTTGTATATCTATTAGATGACATGCACACCAGTACTTTATAGCCGTATAGAGTATTGACCCCCTTTCGGGGGGCGTCCCACCATCATTTCAGGTTGAGGCTAGAGCTTGCCACCTGTGCTTGTTGATTGGGCGATCATGTCACTCCCCGGACCTACCCGGACACGTCAACAACCCGCCGTACAGTACGAGTAATCAACCGCAGTCCGACTCATCCATACTATACAAGGCGTCTTGAATACCATTCACACATAGTACATCC